GCGGCTCCCCCTGTGCTCCCTGCGGGGTGTCCCCTGCCCTTCGAGCATCCTCAGTCCTCCTCCCCAGTCCTGTTGGGAGCCCAAAGGCAGGGAGAGCTTCACACATCGCCCCCTCCCCATCCTGGGGCTGTGCTTTGCCCTCAGGGAAAGCCCCAGTGCTCGTCTGCCTCCTGCATTCTCCATCCCCATCCCATGCAGGCAGCGCTGGTGCTCACTCTCCTGTGGATTTTGGAGTGGGGAGGGCTGGCCTTGTCCAGTCCCGTTACAGGGGTCTGTGATGGAGATAGGCTGTCCCTCTGAGCTGGGGGAGAGGGCTGTGGGGAGTGGGAGGGTGGTGGGTGAGGAGGGAGAGCGGTTAGGGGAACAGAATTGAGGTGCTGGGATGCTGGGTGTGGCCATCAGATGAACTTTTGGATGCTGGACTGGCTCTGCCAGCTGCGGACGGGGCCGAGCGCCGGCGCTTGCGTCGCTGTTTTAACAACCCAGGGAAGTGTCTTTGGGCTAAACCACAGCCTGTGATGTCTGTTCCCGTTGACGGCAGGTTTTCAACACCCTTGCTGAAATAGGAAAGGAGCAACTTTGCAGAAATTTGCTTCCCAGCTTCATTGAGAAAGAGGCAGCTTCTTAACCGAGCGGGATGCGAGGTTTCCTCCTGGTTGGTATTCCTGAACCCCAGCTTGTTTGTTGGACTTTGGCTAATTTGCCACCTCTTCCTGCAGGACGGTTGCCTGGAGCACCTTTTTGTTGCTCTAGTTTTTTTGTCTGGATCCCTATTTGCTGCCTTCTGTGCCAAGTGGCTCCAGCTCTGGTAAGGGAGACAGGAATCACCCGGTCGTTTTGTGTTTTAAGGGCTGGATTTGTTTGGAGTCCGTGTGGCTGTTGGAGGAACAGGAAGGTGTGAAACTGCCCGAGTGGGAAGTCGCCCGTTCTGGGTACGGTAACGTGGTGTTTGTGCTGCTGTGAGCTGCTTGTGTGCACGCTGAAAGCTTTGACTCTGCTTTGATTTGGCTTTCTCAGCATCTGCTCTGTAGGGTGGCAGCTGGACGGCTCCCTGCGGCGCCTGGAAACGTAGGGAGGACAGGAGAGGGTCTGTGCCTCACTCCTCAACAGGCCCTGTGCTGCAGATGGGCTTGGAGTGGCTGCTGTTGGAGATGGACACTGGAAGGTCTTGTTTGCTAGGAGGGGGATGGGAGGAAGGAGCCACCTCTGAGGGAGACTCTGTCCCTGCAGCTCCTCTGGGTGAGGACCAATCCGAGCTATCTACAGTTTGCCTAGTGAGAGATTTTTCTAGATCTAGGTTCTGGATGCAGAGCTGAAACTGCAGGTAATGTGTTTCAGGTGAGCAGCTCTTCAGCATCACTGCTTGATGGCTTCACTCCTGGTATCAGCTCTTGTCCTGAGCAGAGTGAGGTACCAACATAAAAATTAGGGCACAGCTACACTGTTTCATGCTGTAGAAAGAGGAAACTTTGAGCTCTGGCTCTGGAAAGTGATTCTGAGCTTTAGTTGGGTGAGACAGTTGTGATTTAGAGTTTATTTTTCAGGTGTTAAAGATGTTAAGCTTGCCAGGTCAGGGTAAGAAGCTAATGCTGCAGTTGTAGCATACACCAGCAAGGAACTGTAGTGCTCCAGTGCTCTTCTGGTTTGCTTATTCCAACATCTCAGGTGCCTCTGCATTGTAGGATCTACCCTGTCTGGAACAGCAATCCCAGCACTAATGCTGCTGATGTGTTAGAGAAGGCTTGTTGGTGTTTTTCCCCTTTTGAGTTCCACTTCCTGGATTAATTCCCAAGCTGTTGCCTTTCTTTACTACCAAACTGACTCATTCTGTGTTTCTTTTCCTCTGCAGGAGGGTGCAATGGATTTACTGAAAGAGCTGAAAAGCATGCCTATGACTTTGGACCTACTGCAGGTGAGTTGCCCTGTTAGGGGAAAACAGCTCAAGTCTTCATTTGGAGGAGTTCAAAATGTCTAAATAAACTTTACAGGTTTCCTTTCACTTCCTGCCTCCCTGATGCCATCACTGATGATGTTCAGGACACTGGGGAGGTGTGAAGAGAACTACAATTCAGGGTTTAGAGGGGGCATCTTGGATTTCTTCACTCTAAGCTTGCCTGTCACTTGTAGGTGTGGGGAGAAGGTATTGGTGGATGATGGATGTCCAGTTTCTGATCAGTTTGAGTAAGCTGGAGAGTGTTGGGCCATTTTGAGGTTGCAAGGAGATCATCATACTGCAGCTCCTTGGATCCTCCATCTTTTGGTCATGCTTCTCTCTCATTTCAACCTCTTCTTGAATGACTCCTTGGGATGTTCACTTGCAGTCCACCCGCATCGGGATGTCGGTGAACGCACTGAGGAAGCAGAGCACAGATGAAGAAGTGATTTCACTTGCCAAATCCCTCATCAAATCTTGGAAGAAACTCTTAGGTAAGAAGATCAGCATGTTCCTGTCCCATTCAGTTGTGAAGTGCCTCAGCAGGAGCCTGGCTTTCTCAGGAGAGCTTGTATATTCATCCACATAGAATATTCTAGCAAATCAATCAATTTCTCTAAGCTGATCACCTTTATAATTGCAACCTCTCTTTCACTGTCTCCTACCTCTCTATGCTAGTGGCCCAATGTGAAATTCAAACACTGATTAGTTTTTAAATAGACCTTTTGGGCAGCTGTGCATAAAAAGAACAAGAGCAACGTGGTGTTTTGAGTCAAAGTGAAATGTGGGGCTGCCTCCAGTCTGCACCCCAGGGCTCCCCATTTCTTGGTAGGCCAAGTTAGTTAGAAGAAAACTAGTAGCAGAGATTTTCTGTCCTGGCTGGGTCTGTCCCTTCCACGTTAAGAGTTGTTGTGTCTTGGCCAGGCTGGGACAATTTACCTCTGGGTCAAACCTGCTCTGCAGTGTCATGGAATTCCACTCTGAGGTTGTGCTGTTGGCTTTCTGCAGCACCTAGGAAACACCAGAAGCTGCATTTTCAGAAGGACTAGCCCATACTGGTGGTGTTGGCTGGGAAGGCTGCTTTTAGGGGTCCTTTAGACCTTGATCTAATCTGCACTCGGCAGCCTGGGTGTCTCTGAAAGGAGCTTTTGTGATGAGGCATGTCCTGTGAGGAAGCTTATCTCCTAGGCAGGGAAGGTGATTGCTGTAGTTTGGTGAGGAAGGCTTTTGTTTGAAAGACTTTCTACTTGGAGGCAAGTAAAAGCTCTGTTGGAAAGCACAGAAGAGGCTGTAATAATGGTGTTTTCTCCCATTTTTGGAGAATAACAACTGGCCTTAGGCCAACACTGGGTGCTGTTAAAGATCTTGGTTATCTTGTGCAGTGTTGTGGCACAAAGGCCAGTTCTGAAGCCCTTTAGAATCAGTTTCTTTTCTTCTGAATTATAGATGCTTCAGAGGAGAAGAGTGAGGAGAAAAAGAAAAGTCTGTCCTTGCCAACGTCCTCCTCAAAGGAGACCAGTAACTCCAGAGACCAAAGGTAACTCTTCCCTTTAACAAACATGGTACTGTTACAGAATTGGAATTTTCTGGAGGCACCTTAGGTTAATTTCCATTTTTAAGCATTTGAGTTGTGAATTTTGTGTTGTAATGAGCTGTAATGCAGACAGACATCTACAAAACACAGTGGCTTTAGTGAGATTTTTGATTCTATTCATCTTATTTCATGTTTTTCTACTCTTGGTTATGTGTTGATTTTCCTATGAGTAAAATATTCCTTTTTCTTCCCCATTTTTATGTGATTTTGCTTATTTGTAACTTTGAACTCCTTAGAATGAAAATTATTTTTGGCCTTTGCAATCTCCAGTGATGGATGAGATTGATTGACACATCCCTATAGCAAAACTTGCATTTCTTTCTCCTTGACACGTTGTTGCACGGAGAGAGGATGAGGACTGGAGGTTGAAGAGCAGTTGTGACAGTGGGGAAGAGGGGTCTGTGTGAGCTGAGAGCTGCTCTGAGCAGCCTCGTGGTGCCAGATCCCTTCTCTTTGTGATCCTTGGAGTCCAAAGTGCAGGCTGGTACTGCCCAGCCCAGGGTGTGGGCACAGGGAGGGTCTGTTTTATTACCAACCTGGCTGGTACTGCTCCAGCCAGCAGCAGCATTGCAGTTCAGAGAGAGGAAAAAAAGGGGAGCTCTGACTCAGCCTTTGGCAGATTGACCTTGGAGAACGTGGAGCCTGGAGGGAGGGAAGCATGAGACATTCCCTGGATGCAGTGGCAGTAGGTACTTCATGAGCAAAACAAGCTGGGACATCTGGGCTGAAGGCTGAGGCTTGTTGTGACTTCCCTCAGAGCAGGAGGTGGGCTGTGGGTGGAGAAGGTGGGACACTGTCTCCTTGCTCTGCCAGCCAGCTCTGCTGGGGTATGGAGCAGAGCTTTCTGCCTTGTGCTGCTGGAGCTCCTCTGAGCCTTCCTGTGCTGCAGACACTGCAGGGGTGGGGGGTGGTTTTTTTTCTCTCCTTGATGCTTTCTACATGTATTCAGCCTCCATCTTCTGAAAGGCAAAGCATCCCCTCAGCCCTGGAGCATGAAGGGGTTAGTGCAGCACAGCCCAGCAGAAGCTCCTGGGGCCAGTCTGGTGAGCCAGGCTCCCTTCAGAGCAGGCATGCTTCTTCTCTATAACCTAATCTACCTTCTCAAAAGACAAAAATAACTTATTAGCAACAAAAAGTCTGTTTTTTTTCCAGCACAGGCTGTGCTGAAGGAGTCTGAGTGCTGAGTGATTCTCTAAACTGTCTGAATTAGGAGGTGCTGGATCTGCAGCCTGGATTCCACTCTTCCATGGGATTTTCTCCCCTCACAACCCCTGGCTGTTGCTTTGCCTCCAGTTTGTTCCAGTCTAGCCTTTTTTAGGGATAACCTCTTGTTGCCTGGATAGATTTACAGGCTCTTCCTCCTGTTTAACAGGAACAGTGTGACCCACAAGGATTTCTTGAAATAAGTTTTCTAGGAGTGTTTGAGCTCCGTTTCCCAACTATCCTAATTGTAAACAGACTTATAAGCTTAATAAAGAAGTTTCTTTGCAGTCTTTGGGATGGCTGAGGAGTCTGCTTCATCTTATTCATGAGCTGTCATCTCAGGGCATGGTTGTCCTGTGTATGTGCACAGGCAAATATCTTTACTCATCAGCCAACCCAAGCTGTCCCTGATGGGCCTTTCTTTAAGCTCCTCTTTGATAACCCTAAAACCCCTCAGGGGAAGACTTTCCAGGGCTGCCCTTGGGATCAGTCTCCTCCAATTCATAACTCACCTTTCACAGTTCCAAACTCTCAGTCCAAACCTGTCGTTTTAAGATTGTTTCTTCATGCATTTGTCTTTAGCAAGTACAGAGGATTTTTCCTACCATTCCTCCTGTAACAACCTCTCCAGTGTTTCACAACTTGTCTCCTCTAAGTCTTCCCCACTGCAAACCTCTCCAGTTCCTCTTATTGCAGGTATGTTTTCTAGGTTTATTGCCTTTGGCTTTGGGAAGCCTCATTCTTCCCAACCGCTTTATGCAGCGTAATGAGCTGTGAATTTTTTGGGTGAGGTTTTATTCCTGAGCTGGGTAGGCTTTTGAATCCCAGTTGGTTGGCAGGTCTGCTTGGTGGATGAAAGAATGCAAGCCTCTGTTTCCCACCAGGAGAGCTCATCCCTGGGCTGCAGGAGGTGGTTCCTGCTCTGTGCTGCGTGCTGATGCTGAGCAGGTGCCTCTGCGCCGTTTTCCCCATGAACAGGATGCTTGGCCACATACCTGCTGATCCTTCTCTGCTCTGGGTGACCTGAACTGAGCCATTCTGACAGATGAAGTTTCTCTTTCAGCTCCAACAAAAGGCAGGAGGCTCCCAAGACTCCAACCACCCCCAAAATCACCACCTTCCCTCCGGCGCCCGTCACCTGCGACGCTGTCCGCAACAAATGCAGGGAGATGCTGACCACGGCTCTGCAGGCTGATGGTGAGTGCTGGGGGAGCCCTGCCTGGCCTCGGGGGGCTTCCCAGCCTTCCTGGGGACACCTCTGTGTGCAGGTCAGCCCAGCTCCTCTGGGGTGAGAAGAGGAAGGAAGGCTGGGTTGCTCTGCTGTGTGCTTCGGGCCCTGCCGAGTGCTTGGTCTGAGCAGAGCCACTGAGATATGGGCAGGATTTGAGGCTCATCAGATAGGTCTGATCTCAACTATATCAAGAATATATTGGAAAACTATGTTGTGGGGCCAAGGTTCTTGTAGCTCTGTCTAGTGCAGTGAGTCTCCTAGAGAGAGCATGAACTGGCTGGGTTGGTCTCTTCATCACTGCCCCTTTTCTAAAGGGTCCAAGGGGAGCTAGAGCAAAGGCCAAGGTGCCATGTGATGGGCAGAGCATGGAAATCCAAAATGAGCAACTATCTAGATTTGTATCTCAGAAATACTGAGCATGACAAGCCCTGGCCTGGTTGGAAGCTGTTGCCTTCATGTTTCTCTTGCCTTGCAGATGATTATATTGCCATCGGTGCTGACTGTGAGCACATAGCAGCCCAGATTGAAGAATATATCCTTACCATACAGGGCTTCCTCAGGGGCCTTCCTCCAGGCCATGGAATCCTTGTTCTCCAGGGAAAAATGGTGGGAGAGTCTTTGTGTAGATGCAGTGCTGCTTGTCAGGGTCCTGGGACTGGTTCCAGCTCTGCTGGGCTGAGTCCTGGGTCACTGGGGCAGGAGTTTTACTTGGCTCAGGGGCTGTGGGGTGGGAAGTGCAGCTGGACTCTTACTGGAGGGGTTTGTGGTTACCTGGGGGACATGGTTTAGTGGTCACTTGGCAGTGCTGGGTTAATGGTTGGACTTCATGATCCTGAAGGTCCCTTCCAACCAGAACAACTCTATGGCTCTGCCTTGCTGAGAGAAAGAGCAGGTTCAAGAACCTGAGTAGAACTGCAAATAAAGATTATTTCCAGCACAGTGCAAGAGCCAGAACTGAAAGCCCCTGGGCTCTGGGACTCTAGAAGCCTGCTCTGAAACCCAGCACTAACCTCCCAGAGCAGATGCTGCTGTTGGGTCCCAGCACCCTCATCAGTGTCCTGGCAGCATGAGGGGCATGGGAAGTGCTTGGAGGCCCCTGGGTTGGTTGCAGGCTCCTTGACTGCCCTCCACGCATCTACCAAGATGTCAAGAACACTGACATGAAGTACAAGAACCGAGTGAGGAGCCGCATCTCCAACCTGAAGGACTCCAAAAATCCTGAGCTGAAGAAGAACGTGCTGTGTGGGGCCATCACCCCCGAGCAGATCGCGGTGATGACCTCGGAGGTGAGGCAGCCTGAGCACAGGGGTTTGCTTCTTACAGGGGGTGTCCTGTGGGGATTTAGCTTAAAGCAAGGGGCTGGTCTGCTGCCCAAGGGGGGCAGATTTCTCAGCAGCTGCTGCCAGAGTGCCTGGGGTGAGTTTGCAGTGTGGAGAGCAGCCTGCTGGGCCTTCAGATCATGCCAAGGGGCTCGGTCTCAACCAGGAATGAAAGGATTCCTGCCTGAATCCCCACCTGCTAGGCCCCACCTTGTCCTCTTGACTCTTTCCACTCTGCTGGGTGTGGTGGTAAAACTGGACAGATGTGATTTTGCTTTTATTTTTTGAAAGGAAATGGCCAGTAATGAGCTGAAAGAGATCAGGAAAGCCATGACGAAAGAAGCGATCCGGGAGCATCAGATGGCCAAGACAGGAGGGACACAGACTGACCTCTTCACCTGTGGGAAATGCAAGAAGAAGAACTGCACCTACACCCAGGTGAGTTTTCCTGCTCTTACACCACTGACCTCTGCACAGGACATGATCCATCACCACCACGAGCTCTGTGACAGCCCCTGCAGCATGCCACGAATTTCAGTGCTGCTGGAAAAGAACCATTTTTAATGCCTGAGGCTCTTTTAAACCTTTGCACATTTCCTTGGAGCTTGTGTCACTTTTTTTTGGCTCATTTGGACGAGAGCAGGGGTTGTGCACCACCAGGGAGGCTTGGAAAAGTGCAGCAGCACTGCTTGGGAGAGCTGCACGTTGGCAGTAGGTGCTGGGAGTGTGGAGATTTGGCCACAAAGGCAGTGGGCAGTGTAGAGAGACTGCAGAAACCAAGGTCCCAGTGCCTGGCTCTGGGGTAGGTGGTGGGAGAGTTTTCTAAATAGAAATTGCAGGAGGTTTGGTGTGTTTTTAGTAGTTTTGCAGTGAAATCACTTTTTGGTGACTGTGGTGTTGTAAGTTCCTAGTGGATCTGTGAAAGTGGTGGAAGCCAGGCAGTAAAGTGGGGTGAGAATTAGGGGATTGAGCTACCCAGTGTGCTTGCAAAACACACTTAATTTGCATCCTGTGAGTGCTCTGACTCTTGTGTGTTGGCTAATTACACGTGTAGATCACCCTAATTACCCCTCACAGCCCTGCTGCCTGACTCGTGCAGGGAGTGCTGGGATTATCAGGGCAGATCTGCCTCGTGATAGTCCAATGCCACAAAAATGTGACTTTTTAGCAAAGCATGTGTTTCTGGCAGGAGCCAGAGGCAGCAGTGACATCTGGGTTAAACACCAGAGTGCCTTAGTGGCTCCAGTACAGAATGGGCTGGCTTGTGCAGAGCCTGGGGTGTGGAACTGGCCTGTGAGTGGGAATGGCTCGAGTGCTTCATGTGTGGAGGGCTGAGGGTTTGGGCCTCTCACTGCTGGCTCCATCCCTCCCCAGGGGACAGCACTGGGGGGGGGGAACCCCTCTGTGGGTCTGTGCACCCACCCTGGAGCCACCCACAAGGAACGTGCAGCAGAGAGAAGGGGAGGGGGAGAAGCTGCTGCCCCAAAATGGGGCACCCCGGGTGGTGTCAGAGGGGTAGATCCAGGTAAAAACCATAACCAGGGAAGCTCCTTCTGCCCTCCCAAGCCTCGGGCTCTCCTTGGTCCCTGACAATCCCCCGGCAGGGTGGCCAGAGGGCCGGGGGGGGCTCCCTGGTGCTGCGCCCCCCTCTCATTTCCCTCGTGTGCTCCCCAGGTGCAGACCCGCAGCTCCGACGAGCCCATGACCA